CCATTTGTCGCCCCGCGCCACTGCTTTTACCATGTGCTTTATCTTCCTGAGGGCTTCTTTCTTCTTGCTTTCCATGTGCTGTTACAATTTCAGATTTCTCCTAGAGATAGTTTTAATCTTGCTCTTTAAAGCTGTTTGGAAAATAACGTGTTCCGACCACTAGAGGGAGCGGGGCCTTCTCCGCCCCTGAAACGCATTTAGTTCTCCCTCGCTGTCCGGCTATTCCTGAGAGGGACCACCTGCATTGTATCTCCTAGCCCGTTGTACACCCATAGGCACCGGATAACTACCTTTACACTTGCATATGGGTGTACTTCTCTGTTATTTCTTTCTTCTTTTTTTTCCCTAGGGTCCATTTCAGGTAAATCCTCAGGATCAAGAGAGCTCAACCGGTGTTCTCACAGTCCTCACGTTTGCCCAGCCTGTTGTCTATCTTCCAACATGTGTATTTATGCCAACTTTTTATTCTGGAAAACTGTTTACATATTGTCTCAGACTTGCTGAGATAAATATATTGAACCTAGACTCTTGGTGGTTTTTAACCTGTTGCAGCACTTCTTCTCACATTTAGACATATTTAGAAATCTAATGCATGTTTATTTACTCTCTGCGCAGTAATTTCCACATATCCCTACCTGTACAGAGTTTTGTTAAGCCTTCTGGGTAGTGTGGGTTTTTTCTTTTTTTTTTTTCCTTCAAAGACAAGTTATAGTGATACTTAGGTTTCAGGGCACTTCAGAATTACTTTAAACAAGCCTGAGACAAAAGGCTAAAACAGTCTGAATAAAACATTTACTTCTGTCTTTCATGATAAATCTTACTGCAAGTGATCTAGACGAGGGGGAGGAGTGAGAAACATTCTATCTAAACAGTCTATCTTGTCCTTCGCTGCAACTCTGAAAATATGCAGTGGCCACTAGCCAAATATAAACGACCAAATTGTCTTTATCCCCATTTGTTAGATATCAAATGTGATTACGACAGAATTCCTATGCCATTACTATCTCCAGTATTGTTAGCCCCTCCTCTTTAGGGCCTAAGAATATGAGCATGTAAACAAAAGTGGATTTTAAAGGGAGCCAGTTAAAATTTCTCTGTTCTCTAATCTCACTGCCAGTTGTGGGAGTATTGAGCTGGAGATCGTCAAGGCCATGTAACCTCCCCAGTTTGTGAACAAGGGTGGACTTCAAACAGATGCAGAGCAAGCAGTTCAGTGTTACACTTTTGAAAGCGCTCAAATACTCTGGTGAACGTTTTCAGAAAGGCATGATACAATGAGAGGAGGCAAGTCCCAAAGTCAAAATTGCAAGATGACCTCTATGGAGGAGGAGAAGAAAAGATAACTGAAACATTTAAAGAAGCTTAAAAGGGAAGAAGGAACACCTGGAAAGTTTAATATTCTAAAAGTTCAATGAAAATAAAAGGCATACAGTATTTTTATCAGTCATAAGCACAATTATTTAATTACATAATGACTCAGTCCAGCATCCTAAGCTTCCTTTAAGAAATGTGATGGAGCCGTTAAATGTTGATGGATACCACAGAGAAAAGCAATGGGAAGTGGAAAAATAGAACAGAAAGTTGTACTCATTATAATGTACTCATTACAAGAAAATATTCTTTCTGTTATCTCTCAATATTAGAATGTACAGTAATGGTATTCTATTTTTCTCACTAAAGATTGTTAGTTTGTGTTAGATATTTTTTAACTCAGCAATGCATATCCACTGATGGCAGCTCACCTTTCCTTTGGAAAAGTACTCTTCCATAACGGCGAGGCAGCTGAGAAGGAAGAACATTTAGTTCCAATTTCTTTTTCCTCTTTCTCCACTGAGTCCACTTTGACAGGCACCACATCAACATTGTTGGTAAGACTTGTTAGGAACAATTTTGTTATCCTAGGAAGACCACCTGTAATAATTCAAAATATTTCATTTAAAAAGTGACAGTGGGACTGTACCAGAAAAAGTCATCTAAATATAAATAATATTTTATATTTACAATGTATTTATATCCACAGAATGTCTTTCTGTTCATAGTTCTTGACTTCATGGCAAACAGAAGAAAAGTGCTGAATATTATATAAGTTTTAGAAGAAAACTTTTTACAGCTTGACTCACCAAAATTTTTGTCTACACCATTGGTCAGCCTTTTCAGAAATATCATTGCAGTTTTAGCTATGCAAGTCGTATTTCAAGTGATGACTGCACTTGTTGCATAATCAACTAGGAAGTTAGATCCGGGTTTCAGAGTTAAAACACCTTCTTACACGTAAGTGGTTTTGGAAACACCTTAAAACAAACAAAAGTCAGTGCAGAGGAGGAGTTAAGAGTTAGTGTTTGTTCAGAACTGCTGAAGTACAGCTTTGTAGGAAAAAAAACATTTATTTTCAAAACTTGAAGCCAGAACAGTCTAGAGCTGCTCTGCTCTGCTCTATGGACTGAAATTAGTACGAAACAGATTCAGCACACTGCAGAACTGTTAGGGAAAAAGAATATATAGACTGAAATTTGTCCTAACAGGAATTCGATAATACACAGTTCAAATGCATCATCCTGCTTTCTATTAGTTTTGCACTTTGAAGCAACGCACCTTTGTGTTAGCGCTACTTTGATTTTGATCTGGCATATGGATATATGCGTAGAGAATATATATATAAACCCATACAGCAACAACAACAAAACCATGCACTGACTCTTCCAGAAAGAGAACTATGCTTGTTAATAGCACTTAACTTTTACATGCCTCATTTCAACCATAGATCTCCAAACATTTAAAGGAGAGAGCAAGTAGTAGTACTCTCACTGCACTGGTGCAATAGAAAATATTAATAGATGAGTTTTGTTTTTAAAGAACCCCTTGAAAATAACAAGGTACATTAGAATGATGGCATAGAGGCTAAAAACGGTTATTAAAGGTTTGCAGCGGCGCAG